GGCAGTTGCTGTCTCTAGAGAGGGAGGGAGGGATCAAGCTGAAAAAGGATCAAATAGAAGGCAAGAACCTTGTACTTCATATGCTTACTTCTGGGTCTATCTTTGGCTTTGAATTTGATTGGAATTGCCTTTATGGCCATCTTTGATTGCATGACTGTGGCTCGATTTGTCTGCTACCTCAAGGATTATGGCTGCTACTCCTTCTATCCATCTATCTATATATTTTACCTCGACGATTATGACTTCACCTTCTCTCCATCTGCCTATCTATCTATATTTTGCTGCTGCTGCTGCTGCAGGACTATGGCATCCTCCTCCACTCGATTTGCATGCTTGCCTCATCCATCTTTTGGAGTGCCAATGCCAGTGAGGGAGGAACATTTGACTCCTGATGAATGAATGTTGTGCAGCCAATAAATCCATTTATGCTAAGCACTTGCTTATTATTATAATCCTCTGCTGCAGCAGAGGCAGCAGCACCAGCAGCAGCAGCAGACACAAACTTACAGATATAAACCGACACAGAGACACGCCCCGAGACTCTGATGAACATTTAACCCTAATTTGCATTTATGTTGCACATTGGTTGGGGAGGGGGCATGGGCCTATCTGAGCAGAGGATGAGACTGTGGATCTCTGGTTCTGTGATTACCTGTGCCTGAGCGTGAGCTCGTCGCCTGTCCCTCCCACACTGTGTCTCTGTCTCTCTTTTGTATCATTCGTCAGGCAATAAAAGCAGTTCGCAAAAAAATATAACCCACACACACACACACATACACACATACAGAAAGTGAGAGATAGAGAGGGAGAGGCTGAGTGGGTGGCGTGGGATGTCTACTTATAAACTCACCTTAATTAAACGTGATTAAGTAGATTTCCCTCGTTTTTCTGCTCAACGAACTGTTTAGTTGTTGTCGATGTGTGTGTGTGTGTGTGTGTGTGTGTGTGTGTGTTGTATCTGTGTGTGTAATTATAACCACTGTATGTGGGTGTGTGTGTATGACCTGTACTTATTAACTAGCATTTATTGTTGTTCTTTTTCTCTCTCTCTATGTGTGGCAGGTGGCATGTGGCAAAGGTGGAATAACTGACCGGCAAAAGGGTAAGGTAACGAGCACTTTTCCATTGAGTTTGCGAATGAGCAAGAAAATTGTGGCGAATGCGAAAATGTATCTTAATTTGATTGATTTTACGGGGGCTCGTATCTATCAGATATCAATGATACAGACGCGCTATGGGCCATTGCTTGGGATGACCCAATGGGTGGGTTTTGGGTAGCAGGTACATACGAATTTGAGCGGGGATAATATGTAGATAAGACTAAATTAATAAGTTCAAGAAGATAAACTGAGGTCATGAACGATAGAAAATGAAAGATCAAGCGAATTCCCATTGTTTCTTATGGTAAATAATAATTAAAAGAGAATTACGAATAGTTCTTTGATAGAAAATGCCTTGAAAATGCAAAGTGACATCGAAATTATATAGAAATGATGAAGCTTAGTCAAGAATTTCAGGGAAAAAGCCCTAAGTGGAAACTCCATGAAGAAACTTCGAATAGAGGAAATTTTTTCTCAACAATTTTTGAGCCACGAAAAAAAAGTAAACCTATTTCAGCTATCTGTATATTTTACACGCATCTTTTGCTCGCATCTAGCCTCCCGTTTCCCTACAATATATATATATAGCACTCCAAGGAGTTTTACCGCTCCCCAAACAATTGTCATAAATTCTAACCATTCCCCACACTGCCCTCTCCACTTGGAACAAGTGCCCCAATTAAAGTAGAATCGTTTTGGAAAATCTCGTTGCTTCTTTGGTGGTTTCTTGGCTGCTGCTGCTTGCTGCTTGCTGGTTTCTGCTGCTGCCCCGAACTATGGTTCCCATGAGGGTATTCAAGTTTTCGGTTGCTCCAAAACCCAACCGAAAATTAGCATTCAATTTTCATGTTTATTCTACGGGGCTCTCTCTCAGTCTCTTGGTCTCCCGTTCGCCCGTTCGCCCGCTCTCTGGGTTCACTCATTCTCATTGTTTGGTTCGTCGAGCAGCGATTCTGAATGCTGCTGGAATGGATGCTTGAGTTCTCTTTCTCTTGAACTGGGGGTTTGCGCCCCTTTTCCCCTGCCGCACTTTGTGTGTAATTTAGTTTCGTTTGTTTGCATGAAAATGAATTTGTATTATTGTTTGGCATTAATTTGCCTTATTAATTACGTTTATGCGAGTGGACTACTGACTACTTTTTTCTCTGCTTTTTTCTCTGCTTGTTTTGTGGCTTGTGGGATTAACTATGGAGTGGATGCTCCAGCTCCAGCCACCCTCCTGCCACAGGTTACTCTGGAGTTTTGTGTGTGAAAGAGATCCGCCTCTGGATGCTGCTGCTTCCACTCTTCAGAGTGGTGGACTGCTCCTGCCTCGGTCTGTCTCTTTTCTATGATTTTTCTCCAAACCCCCCACTCCCACACTGTTGCATGATTTTCCCAGGGGGTAATTTCGAGCATTGGCTGTGCGGTGCGGGCAATCAAATAAATAATGAGGAAGATGACTGTGTGGACTGACTGCCCCAGCCCCAGCCCCATCGTCTGCTCTGCTCTGTTCTGCTCTCGCTGTTGCTGCTGTCGTCAACTTTTGTTTAATATGCGCAAAACGTTGTAAGAACTTTTCTGCCACTGCCACACAGCCCCAGCCATAGCCACAGCCGCCGCTACTTGTCATCGTCTAACAGAAATGTTGCCAAAGCCTCTGAAAAATCTTTGGCCCCAGAGTTGAGAGTCCTTTCTGCCGCCCACTGGAGGATTGTCTATGGCAACCAGCACGCTCCGCTCCTCTCTCTGGGCTGCCTGTCTGCCTCTGTCTATGTTTTCTATAATTGCCTTTTTTTTTTGGCCTCAAAAGTAACTGTGTAGCTGTATATCTGTGTATCTTTTTCTCTTGTTTATGAAATTCCAAACATAAGTATTTTCTGGCAGCATTCAATTCTCATTTCCATTGACTGCAATTTTTCAATTCCTGGCTGCCTGTTATTTTTTTCTATGGAATTGCAATTCAATTTGATTTGTGCTACGTGGCTTTATTTTGTAGTAGTTGCAACTGCAACTTTCCCCCTTTTCTCAGCCAAAGAACAACAGGAGCAGAACAGGAAGTGGAGAAAGCAACAGAAACTTAAATGTCAACGCCGATGAAGCTAAAGGCTGTGCACTTCATCATAAAACTCACATTTGCAGGCGCGCATCCTACATCCGTATTCCCTCATACAACATCCTTCCATGGCGCTCATTCTACATCCTTCCCTTGGCCACCCCCTGCCTCATTCTACATCCTCTATGGCGCTCTTCTTCAACGCATATCCTCTAGAAACCCTTCTGCCTGCCGCATTCCCTTACAAAAGGCTCCGCGTCAACCTCAAGCAGCGCACTAGGCCACGCTGATTTGTACACAGGACAACGCAGGAGGCTAAGGAGTAGGAGTAGGTGGAGGAGGAGGCACAGGAGCTACAGGAGCTACAGGGGGAGGACACAGCACAGTGGGTACAAGAAATATACTTCCGTGTTGATTGTTTTGTTTTGTTTTGCTTCGCTTTGTTTGGCTTTTACTTCGTGGAAACAGAAGAGGAGGAAGCAGAAGAACGAGCGGAAAGGGGAGTAGAAATAAGAGGAAGAATGGCTGGAAGGAAGGCCGTGTGGGGGAGCAGGACAAAGAAGGAGGAATGTTGTTCTGGTACCAGCCAAAAGACAGAACAGGACGACGCCCATAAAAAGCGACTACGTCTGCGAAAATCACTTTAAAAACAAGTGAAAGGAGAAAGGACACGATACGAAACGAAACGAGACGAGACGAAGAAGCACAGTCACAGGACATGGAGTAGAGTCTCCTGCGAGTCTGCGATTCTGCGAGTCTGGGAGGCTGAAAGGCAAACCTGTCCATCAACGAAACTATTGCAACAATAAACAAGGAACAATTTGACAATTGAAGTGCTTCCTGCAGGACAAGAAAAGAAAGCAAAAGGCAAAGCCAAGCCCCAAAGTGGGCTAGAAAAAGAGGGAGAAGGGGCAAGAGGGGCTAGTAGCAAGTAGCAAGAAAGATTGCTAAGAAAAGCAGGACAAAAGTAGCAACAAAATGGGAATCCTAGGGTTCCTAGCAGCTCCCCATTGCGAGAGGGGAGGAGCCAGGCAGGCGGCACTTGAGCACAGTTTCCGGTCATTTACACGTACGAACACACACACATGTCAATCTCTGTGCCCTTATGGGTGTGTGCGTGTGTGTGTGTGTGTGTGACACAGTATCCTACATTTTTTATTGGCATCAAAAAGTGTTGCTATCGCTCTCGCTCTCGCTCTCGCCCTCTCTTCCTCTCCCTCTCTGGGAATCCCAACCTGCCCCGCTGTCAAAAAATTAATGCCCCCCGGTAATCTCAAATAAAATTTCCACCAATTTAGACCAAGGTCAGTGGCAGGTGGGGACGGTGGGGGGGGGGCGTGTACTGCTTGCTACACATGCTAGCAATTTAGAGCAAGGAGCAAAGGGATGCGCCCCGCAAAAGTATGCTATGAAAAATTATCAGCGACAATTGTAGTCTCCCCCTGCCCAGGCAACAAAAAACTTTCTTAAGTTTCTTTTTTGTTGTTTGTTGTGCGGGGGGAGGGGGGCTAAAAATATGAGGGCAGAAACGGACGAACAGATTGAAGGGAGAAGGGGGTGATTGGCGGGGGGGAAATGGTTGAAGGAACCAACGAAATGTCTGAAACGAACAAAATTGTTGGCTTTTGCACAGACTCCACGTGCAGCAGCCGCACTAATCTCTGCCACTGCCTCCCAGTATATCTCTCTCTCTATGTCAATCTCTCTCTCTTTAATCTCTCTTTCATTCGCGCGCTCTCTCTCTCTTTGCGCAGCTGCTGGTCCTGCAGGATCAGGGTGTGGTGAGTTATGCTGCTGCTGCTGCTGTTATGCTGTGCTGCTGCTGCTGCTGGAAAAGCGTCGGAAAAATGTCTTGGTGGCCCTACCTTCTGCTGGCGTCGTCGTCGTCGTCGGCTGCTGCTGCGTGGCTGCTGCTTTTCCTGCTGCTTGGCTGCGCGTTGCTCGGGTCTGTCGCTGCTGCTGCTGCTGCTGCTGATATGTGGACACGGACACGCACTCACACTTGAGGGGGGTATGGTTGGTGGGGGAACACCAGCACTCGCTCTCTCACACACTCGCACACACACACACAGGCACTGGCTCGTCGGGACACTCACACACACACGCGGCGCGGCGCATTGACAATTGTCGCTGGTCGGTCGCTGTCTTTTTTTTTGTATGTTGTTGTTGTTGTTGTTGTTGTTGTTGTTGCTCTATTTTTGCCCCTCTTTTCCGCGCAATTATAATTCACATTTTCCACCGTCGTATCTCAGATTTTGTTGTATGTTGTGGCATACATGGCGGCTGATTGTTTGTCTCTCTTTCTCTCTCTCTCTCTCCCTCTCTCTATCTCTCTCACTGCTCTTCTCTCTCTCGAGCGAGTGTGTGTGTGCGTGTGTGTGTGTCAGTTCTTTTTTGGTCACAAATATCGACACAGTCGATGCACACTTCCGCTTTGGTCAACCGAACACGTCAACTGTCTGCACCTGACTGACTGGCTGGCTGGCTGGCTGGCCCAGTGGCTGTGGGAAAAGTCTCTAAAGTTTTTCCTCTGCCTGTAAGAATAGAGAGAGGAAAAGCAGCGCCAGCAGCAGCAGCGCCAGCAGCAGCAGCAGCAGCAGCAGAGAGTGGATTTTGTGGATGCTGTTTACATTCTGCTGCTGCTGCTGCTGCCCTCTCTCTATGCTGCTGCTCTCTGCTGCTGCTGCTGCTCTTTGGCGTCCGCTGGCCCTTTGTTTTGATTTATTTTTTTGTGGTAGGTTCTTCTTTTTTTTTTTGGGTACAAGACTTCCAGCAGCATCCAAGAGTGGGTCCATGGTCCACAGAAACTAACTAAAAATAAAAATATGCTGCTCTTCTTTTGTAAGCCTAATCTCTGGCCCCTCCCCCACCCACACAATCTTCGGGATGGATGGCTGCCCTCTCCCCAAAAGCAAATGCAAATCCACTTCGGGAAAATCATTCGAAGCGCAAAAATTGCCGCTGACTGCAAACAGCAGCAACAACACAAAAAAACTCGGCCCTGAAAAATACTCAGACCCCGAAAATAAATATCATAAAAGTATGAAAAATAAATAAATGAGGCAGGCATCGAGGGAGAGAAAAAGGGGGTGCGGTGGAGGCTGGGGTTGGGGCGGGGGCAACGGGTTCCATATATAAATATAAATATTTGGGGACCAGCTACAGTTACGTCTCGGCTTAACAAAAGGGCTACGGCTGCTGCCTGATGTCTGCTGCTGACCGAAACGGGTTAACGGGGGGTCAATTGCTAGAGGGTGGGGGCTAAGGGTGCAGGTTTCAAGGGGTGAGTGGGGGTACGTAAAGAGATTCAACAGCGGTGTTCCAGGAGGGGGGTTCCAACGGAGGAGTTTGCTTCGTAAGTGGGTGCCAGACGGAGACTACCAAAAAAAAGAAAAAAGAAGACACTCTAGAGGGAGATCCACAGAGAATTTCAGGAAGGTTTTCAACACTAGTTCCACTTTCAAAATTATTTCCAACACTGGCTCAAAAACTAGTTCCAAAAGTGTTGCCAACGAGGTGTCCAAAAAAGGTTTTCCATATATTTTAGAAGGGTTCCAGTGTGCGTTCCAAGGAGCGTTCCAATGGATGTGTTAAAAGGGTTTCAGGAAGGGGTTTGTGGGGCGCTCCAAGGGGCGTTCCATAGTGTATTTCCGGGGAGGGAGTGGGGCAGCAAACAGTAACCCTACTCATCCCATGGACTCACTCGTGGACCGCGTGGGGGGGTGGTGGATACGCTTCTGTTCCGTTGTTGATTCTTCTTTTTAAGCGGCCTCTGCTGCTGCTGCTGCTGCTGCTCTTTATGCAAACTGCCGCCACATCCATCCTCCACCTCTGCGACGAGAACTCCACCTCTTGGACGTCTCTCACTCAACCTGCCATCCCCCCCCCCCACCACTCCCGTTGTAGCTGTTGTTGTTATTGTTTGTCGGTCGGTCGGGGTGTCTCATGAATATGTAAATTGTTATTATTGCATATTGTTAGGCGCCAGGAGCAGCAGCGGCAGCGGAGCACAGGAACACAGGATAACACAGTGGACTGGCAAGTGGAGTCTTTCGCTAAACGCAAAAGCAGGTGAAATGCAGGAGAAAAGAACGGGAAAGGGCCATCTCGAAGCGGCAGATACCCTTGAAAATAAACATGAAAAAATATGCAAAGAACTATTCGCAGAATTCTATGGAAAATACACAGAGAGGGGTTTCGCTTCCCAGAATTGTTATTAGAGCAAGTAACAGTTGCAGCTTCAATTCGGATAATTTCAGTCAGCTGAGGAGCCTCTCCATGCTCCAATCACTTGCCAGTAGGTGTCTCCTCTTTGGCAGGGTATGGGAGTAGCAGCAGCAGCAGCACCCCTTCCGGCGGAAATAGCAGAGTAGTAGGAGGGTAGGAGAAGTACGAGACAACTGTAAGTTTAATTCCCATAGATTTTGACGAATGTCCCTCACGCAGCGAATAAAGCAATGAATACGAAATGCTGAAAATGTTAGAAATGTTTGAGATGTTTGTTCCCACCCAAGGAATTTCGCTGACACTCGCGAGATGGGCGTGTCGTGTCATGTCGTGTCGTGTTGTGTCAGAGAAAGAAGTTCTTAAATTCCAGAGCTTCAGATTGCCAGATCTCAGTCGAGTCAGCTTTAAGTTAGATGGAATCATTGTCAATGGCGACGGCAACACCTAGGCAACAAAGTAATGGCCGTCACACACACACACACAGATACAGCTACAGCTATAGCTACACACACGCATGTACTTGAGGAGGCAAGTAGCAGCAGCAACAGCAGCAACAAAAAGCAGCAGCCAGCAGCAGCAGCCTTGACAACCTGAGAACATGCCAAAGAACAAGACATTTGCCGCGCGGCGGCGGCGACTTTGATTGGCAGCAGGACGAGGCAGTAGTAGATCTATGAAAAGTATGAAAAGGAGGCAAAGGAGGAGGAAGATGAGGAGGCGGGGATCATCATTGACTGTATATGTATATATGTATGTGTGTGTCTGTGTGTGTGGCGGGCTGTCGTCATCGCCATTGCCATCATCGTCATCGTCATCTATAATAACATCAAACAGCGCCGCCGCTCGCTTGCCCCAGACACAGAGAGCCAGAGCCAGCAGCAGTGGTCCTGGTCTTTTCTCCAAGCAACCCATGGGCTGCCACATAGCCCACATAGCACTCCTCCTCCTGCTGCTGGTCTTGCCCCATGCCACCTCAGTGCCAGCCTCCCCACTTGTTATCACGCGCAATAAAAATCTTGCCAGCAATTCCCGTCTACCCGCCGTTCTTTTTTTCTTTGCCTTTCTGTTTGCCTTATTCTTAGATGCTCTCCATTCGCATGCAAAGGATGGCAGGGTATGGGGAATATGTCATTGAATAGGTCTCTGGGGAGCAGATTGCCAACGGATTGGATAAGGCTACGGCAACGGCTACGGCTCTGAGTGTGACATTTCCGATTTGAGAGATAAATTTATGCGCAGAAAATGGGCAACAGGAAGAACATTGAGTTCCTCTAGTAGGGTTTTGTATAATATTTGTTTCTGATTTATTTTGTGGTATTTTCTGGAGTATTACTCTTCTGAGCAATTACGGTATTTTGTATGGTATTTTTTATGGTATCTTTTTATTTTTTTTTATTTTTATTTTCTAATAATTTATTTTTTATTTTCATTCCAATCTAAAAATGTAGCCTTCGAATCCTACATCTTATTCCTACCATATCTCTGAAGCTTCTACACGTAAATTCCCCTTAACTTCTTCCCTTTGTAGAGCATCCCAAATTCGGCTTGGACATTTTTCCCTTTAATTTGCCCGTCCAATGTTTTCGTTGATTTTTTTGTCGATGCTTACTTGATTTTTCCTTCCTTACGATTTTCAAACATTTACTTTCGCTTTTTGCAAAAAGAAAAAAAAAACATAGGCAAACACACTCACACACACACACACACACACACACATACATATATTCAAATGATTGTGTGAAGTGGTGTGTGGGGGGTGGGGTATAGGTAGGTGGTAAAAGGCGGAGTCGCCCCCCCTCCCGTACAGCGGCCGCAGCATCAGCATAGAAAAGAGGACCACGAACTGTGTGGCAGCAGCTGGCGCATAGAAAAATAACAGTAGAAGTAGCAGCCAGCAGAAGCTCGTGGAAAAATCCGCCCCGTGTACGCAGGCGAAAATTGTTGTTGTCGGTGGCAAGAAGTGGGTGTGGCAAGCGGCAAGGCAGCAAAGCAGCGACGTCAGCAGTAGCCGAAGCAGCAGCAGCAGCAGCAGCAACCGCTGCCTGAATGCGCGTTTAGTTTCAAGTGTTATTTTTGTACTAGAAGCAGCAGCCAGCCAGCCAGCCAGCCACCAGCCGAAGAGCCAGATTGACGGCAGGGTGGGTGGGGGTGTTTGGTGATGGCAAGGACTTCGGCTTTTCCTTGGGACTTTCTTGGGTTTCTATCCCTCGCGCCTGCCTTCGTCTTCGTCTGCGTCGTTTCTTGCCTTCGTCTATTTTGGCTCAAGTGCGTAATTGATGTGAAAAGTGGCAACAAACTGTTTTTTATTTGCGCTTGCTTTCAATTTGTTTAAATTGCTGGGCGCTGTCTTGCCACACTTGCCTCTTGCCACACACACATACACAAGCGCACATACACACACCCACCCACACACTGATTGGGGGCAGAGACACATACACATACATACACACATTTTTTAAACGCTGATTGAAGTTTTATTGAATTTTAAATTGTCTCGGTTTCTGTGCTGCTTTTCACTTTCCTTCCTGCCATCCATTTTGTAGTACTTGGTGCTTGCTGCTCTCTCCCTCTATTACGCACTCTCTCTTTCGCCCTCGCCCCGTCTTACTGTATTACTCGCTCTGTCTCGATTTGCTGCTTTGGTTGAGTGTTTTATTGTT